GACTTAAAAAACACATTTGACCATCTTATAATGTTTATTAATCTCAATTCATTTATTGATTCTACTGCTATTTTTTTAAAATTTATTTATTTATACATTTTTCATACATCTTATTACCTATAAATGTCTATTATTATCCTTATTTATTTATTTTATTCTATCAATCCATTTCTTTATTTATTTTATTTTATTTATTTATTTGTTTTATTTTATTTATTTATTTTTATTTATTTTTTTGTACCAACCATCCAAATAATATTAAGTGATGTTATTTAGTTGATCGGGTGCTTATGACCTACATGTTTTGCGCCTAGACATCGAAACAAACAAACAAAATAAAATGTTGGTGGAATAACGGCTTAATTTATAAAAATGAAAACATCAAGACACCAGATCTAGGAATAATGAACAGAATAAAAATATTTCAATAGTTAAATGGGAAGAGTACGGACAGTTACTATTCTATGTATAACTCGTTTACAGAGAGAAACACATGTACACGCCGTACTAATAACAGAATAAAAAAGTTGGTACAATTCTAGCCTAAATTGTTTTACTTTTACTAAATAATTCTTAAATTTATGAATTATAATAACCATTAAGAAATTTTTCAAAGTTTTTCCCATTGCAATTCAATACATATTAATTATATCATAGTCAACAAAATGGTTGTGTTTATGAACTTTATAAGATAAGAAGGTTCGCTATTTCTTCGTTAAAGCAAGAACTGAAACATTAACATGAAGGGGTAATACGTTGTGGGTGGAGCTTGACATATGGATCCAAACAACTCATCAAACTTTCACCAAACTAAGTAGTAGACAACTAACCATTACGAATACTCTCATTTGTTGCCTGAGGTTGTTTGCCAGCCTAGGGGACAATTCCAAGATGACACTGGCAAATTGAATGTGGTTTGCTGAGCGATTGTCTGGAGACGTTATATGGCAAGATGAGGAATGGGAAGCAATTATGCAAAAGTATTGGTTGGTATAATGTTTAATATCTATTTGAATTTTTAAAATATAATTTTAAATATAAAAAAAATAGTTTTTTAACTTGTCTGAACCTGAGAAAATATGACCATTTTATAAATTTTTTTAACAATTATTAAGTAGATCACGCTGCTACACCATTTTTACTAATTGATTAAAAAAAAGGATTAGTTACCGATAAAAATGGTTTCAGAATAGAATATTGTGTTTATTCAGTGAATTGAATCACGAAAACATGAATTAGAGATTTTCACTATTTCTTTTACTTTAAAAAAAATTATTTGATTCTGTCAACTTTTGTTAATAACCAGCAAATGTGCTGGAAATACAAGATATGAATAATATGTCAGCCATGGGCAAAGTACTCAGCAGCACCTCTTCCCTGACATTTTTTAATTACTTAGGTTGTTTAAGGAAGAACTTTCGTCCAACGCCTTTTTTGACTCCTCATCATGTTTTGGAGTATGTCAACTGTGGCCATGTCTCTTATTAATCTGTTGTGATTTTGGTCAACTGTTGGAAGGTGGAGTTCGGTACGTAAAGTTTTGTTAGTCACCTACCATGGTGCTTTTGTTATGAGTCACAATAATTTTGATTGGAAAGTTTGAAGTTTATGTAGGTGGGTCTGTTTAGCGATACTCTGTATTTCCGATGAGTATGTCCATATGGGTTTAAGTAAGTATTTGTATGTATTCAGTTTCTGTATCAGTTTGAGTTTTGAAGATTTAGATAAAAAGCGTAAAGAGATTTTTACTGAATTTATTTTTCCCATTTCAAATTCCTGAAAGCATTTGATTCTGAATCAATTTCACCATTATTTGATATTACTGTTATAGTTAAAAACAGAAATAAGTCATATTTTACTATCCTCTTTCCGTTTATTTGAATTGTATATTAAGGAAAGGTTTTGTGATCATGAAAAATTTCTAATCCATGTTTTCAATTAAAATATATGTTCAAAGTTCCTTTCAGTCCAAGTCCCGCAAAATGGTTTATGTTTATATATCCAGTTCAAAAACGCAAATTTGCAGAAGACTAAAATTACATGTTTACTGTTCCTCTAATTACCTTTTTACCTCAATAATTGTCTAATTTCTTTGCTATAGGCAAAATGCTGCATCAATCTCCTCCAAATGTTTCTAAAGTTACATTATGGATCTTTTTATGGTTAAAGAGATTATTGATATTCGGCAGATCATTTGTAATACAGAATGTCTATTAATCCCCTCCTATTACTCCACACGATAGATTGTGGTACATCCCAGATCTTGGGTTAATTTTGCCACAGATTACTTTCTGTTTCCACTACTAGTTAATTCGATCATAACTTTCTGGAAATCCTCATAGTATTGCTTCTTGTCCTTTACAAAGGTCGCATGATAAAAAAATCGTGGGTTTATGTTCTTTTCTAGTTCTGACAATACTTTAGATGGGTGTACAGTTCAAGTCCTTGAGGTCTCTTATTTTCGTGACTACTGAAAATTATATAAAATACGAAAACTCTGGGCCGATTTTTTGAAGTGAAAACTTCTTTAGGCGCGTTTTGCACTTTTTTTTATGGATAGTGAATATTAAGCCGTCAGATCTCCGATGTGTAACGCTTGGATAAAGTCGGCTGAAGTCGACTTACTGTTTTTGCATATTGATTAAAATATCTCAAAGACTAAAAATCGTACGTGCATATTGTTGGTAAGAGAAATGTTAACCATTTCATCCTCTCTGTATGGGGATATTATCCACAATTGTATCTTAACGTGAGGCCGTGTTAGAAAGGCGAAAAGGAAAAAATGGGGTCGAAAACCAAATGATAACTAGTTTATTGGAAGATATGAATTGAAATATCTCTGAAACTAAAAATCGGACCTGCATACTGTAAGAGAGAGGATTGTTCAGCCTCTCTGTAATTGTTTATTGTACAAACTTTTATCTTAACGCGAGGCCGTATGAAAATCAAATGATAACAAGTTTAATGGAAGATGTGGATTAAAATATCTCAGAAACTACAAATTATTTGAGTTGGAGAAGGAGAGGAAGGCCTCGTGTCAGGATAGATGTGGCTGAGAGTATAGCGAGACGACGGAGGAGGAAGCGATGATGAACAGGAGAAGTGGAAGAATCGACTGAGAAGTTTGGCTAAGGGAAACTCCGATTTATGAAGAAAACCCCCTTAAATAAAAAAATAAAAAATAGAAATCAGATCTGCATACCGTAAGCGAAAGAAATGTTCAGCCATTTCCATTCCATGCCATTCCATTCTCTTGATCATGAGCTATTAATTATAATTTTTATTTCATATTATTAATATCGCCTTGCAAATGTTTTCACTTCTACCGTGTGACCTAAAACACACACCAGTTTTTTTTTTTTCAAAATAGGGACATCAAAAACATTATATAGAAACTTATACATGTTATAATATATGTACTTTTGCAATAATATATATTGATTTTGCAGAAATCATTCTCTTTGTTATTAAATATTTTAATAGATCAGTCAAGATATTTTAAAAAATAACAAGAAAAATATAATGTAAACATAAAACTCCTTGTTGTACTGTACTGGAAAGGGTCTTAACAAGAATTGAGCTCTTTTCCTTTTGGCTATAGAAAACTGCTTCGTAGCCAGTTCACTGTGCTGGCCTATGTAAATGATCTAGTTGTCTTCGCTTACAATGGAAAGGATCCCCAGTCCAGAGGGGTCACTTAAGAGAAATCTACATGGAGATAAACGTGACAAAAATACAAATCATGCATATCGGCAGGCGAACCAACCATGACAACGGGAACCATGACATTAGACTGGATAGAATCCGAATAGCACAGATTTTAAATACCTGGAAGCGCATTTGAACGAGAATGTCTGGGTGGCTGGAAATATAATAGAACGGACAATGGCTGCCAGAAGATGCTTTAATCTTTTCACGAAAGCCTTTTGGAAAGAAAAGAGGAGCCCAAAACTACAGAAATGGCGATTTTCAAAGATGCCATTCTACCAATCCTGCCTTAATCAAGTGAGTTTTGGAGCCTAACAAGTAAACATACAAGCCAACTCCAAGCGATTGTGATGCGCTACCTCCGTAGTGTCCGATGTAAGACGAGAAGATACCGAGTGATGAACATCTCAATCTTATATCTAGATATGCAGAATGCTAAACATAAAATAAAGGAATAATCCTGGCTAAGAGGGTTCGAAAGTGCTTCTTGAATTCCAGAAGATAAACTGTTGAGGATAACTTATGAGACGCAATTGGGGGGGATAGAAAATCTAGAGGGCGCCCAATAAATATTTGGAAAGGTGGAATAAAGAAAGATTTTGATTGGAGACGAAGGGATTGTGCGAGGAGTAGACAATGGACTCAAGATAGAAATTTGTGAATCAGGCTCTGTAGACGGAGGCCTATTATTGCTTAGTTGTAGAAGAGTATGGATCAAGTAAAAAGGCAAACATAAACAAAATTCTAATTTTACAGTTATTTACACATTACATCAATTTACTTTCACAAAATATGTTTTGGATACACAAAAGTGCAAAATTACCATTTCTAATATTAGTCGGAATTCGGTATACGTTTATAACGGGGATGCACCACTTTTGAAAGGGAGTGGTTGAGGTGGGCGTGCTCCTTGGTGAACCTAGGGAGGAAGAATGTTATACATTTATAGGTTATTCCATTTTTCCTGACAAAGATGAAAATACTTTCATTTGTTATTTATCATATGTCATATATCATTTGTCATACATCATTTGTTACCAGGAATCACGGTCCACAAAAAAATGTTAAACGATTATGTTTCAATTTAAATTCAGGATTTATGTATTTGAAGATCAGGTTTTTATTTAAAACTGTAATATCGTTTGAGGATTAGTTTTCGTTTATTTTCCATTTTGTAAATCTGTTTTTTTTTTTTAAGTTGTTATAATGGATGGACACTACAACGCTGGCCAGAATTTGATAGAGAAACTGGCAATGTCTATCCATAACATACTGCTTTAAAATTCTCTAGAATGAGAACAAATGTAGATGGCCCTTACAAGGCAAACACTGCATACCAACAGGTAGCCCGGAGGAGCACCCCACCAGGCGGTCCTGCAGCCACAGTAGCACGGGCAATTCTCAAGACAGGGCCTTCAGATCCGCCCATTCTGGGAACCTGGGGTAGATTTGTAAGGGAGGGGGAGGTTGTGTACAGCGCATGCGTTCTGATAGGGTAGACGCCCGGGCAATTCACCCCTCATTCCGCCTCCGATCGCCGTGGTGTGCGTGTCTCAGTTGTGGCTGCTATCATCCCCAGGCAAACACCGTTGGATGTAAGTACACTTTAGCCAGTCTGTCAACTGTTAGCCAACGGAGTAGTGGACTTGAAGATGTGGAGAACGTACAATGTCGATTGTGGCCTGTTCCTGCCGCTCCATCCAACGGCCTGGCACGCCCCTCGCTGTGCGCATGCCGGTGACGTCACCCGCCCACTGCCCCCTCCACTGGACCGCTGCTCCGCCAGTCTGCGCTAGAGCTGCTCTCTGTGGGCCAATGTGAGAACTCTCCCAATTACTCCAGGTAAGTTCGTAGATATAGCCGTCAGTGTCGAGTTTCCGCTCTTCACACACATTTATGTTATTGTGCTTGTCATCTTATTGTTTTTTTTTCTCCCGCTTTTCAATTATTTGCATTGTCGCGGAATTTCATTTACCCGTCAATTATATCACACGCGAATCATATCATTCCTTATATTTTTGGTTATGTTTTTTCTTCAATCATCTGTGTAGCTTGAATGTTGTATGCATCGATGTTTTTTACGCACGTCACTCTTTAATTATTCATATTAGTTGCACTTTTGATGTTACCTGATCAAGTTTTTTACGTTCAATATGTTTTTCATACCATGTACGTAGTAGATTGGTGTAAAGGTTACAATATATAAATACCTCCTCGATACTTTTTTTTCTGGGTAAAAAGTGCTAAATTAATGTTCTACCTTGTAATAAACCTTATCATTCACATAATGTTTTAGCTTAGCCAAACATTAAAATACAATCTAAAACCGCTGTCTTACGCTATATATTCTCGTTTTCTTTTTAATATACGAATGAACACCCATTGAAAATGATAAATGATTAAATGCCAATTTTATATCAATGACAATAGAATAATGTTGACGCTTGTGTAAATAATTATAATAATAAAAAGGAGATTCGTGATTAAATTAAAATCGCAATTACAAAAAAACTAACTTTCTAATTTACATGTTAATTATATATAATTAAAAAAAACAATATAAAACTGTTGAATTATTGAGAAAGTTAATATTAAGTACATTTTTAAGTTTATAAATTCAGAAAAATGAACATATATATCAATATAGTTTTATATACTTTTTATGTGCTTATTTATTACCCCACTCTCAATAAAATTAATTAAATCGATTTTCGAGCCCCGCCCTCGCCCGGGCAGATCCCCCCCCCTCCACTTCAATTTCAAAGCTCAAACATCTCGAACATTAATCACCGCTTGAGCAACAGGCTCTCATCCGTTTCTCTAAATTTTGGTTCAGAACTTGAAAATTATCTCCTGGCTTGTGATATTCCAGTTTATAAGGAATTGTTGAAGTGTAAGTAGGTACATGTTAGTGTGTGATGCATATATTTATGCGTATTAGGTTTGATGTTGTTGCATTTGTCCATTTATTTATTTTGTTTGCCTTGTAGTTTTCGTGACAGAGAATTTACATATGAAAAAAAAAATCGATGAGTTTTCAAAATGGGAAAACATGTAATGGTGTTATGTAATGTAAATATATTTATCTATTCTTGATTTAATTTACGGAATTTTATTTACAACTTAATATATTAAATTGGATATTTTCAACTTTTGATTAACAATGTTTTAAAACTAATTGACAGCAAAATTATTTCTATGAAAAGACATTAAAAATTATGAAATCCAATTTATTAAAGTTCATTTAAAATAAATGCCTCAAGATGTTGTTCAATATTGGCAAATAAAAAAGTCATTTTTAGTTTATAATACCTAAAATCAATTTTTAAATTTTAGATTCTAAATCGCATAGGATTTATAGAAAATAATAATATATATTATAAAATAAGTAATAAATTATTGTAATGTTGTAAAATTATTGCTTTAGTCTTTCATTTAAATTTTCATGGATACATATTCTTTTATTTTAGTATGAGCTGAGTAATAAGATATAACAAGAAAGTACAATGTAATTCCATCGGATTAAAATCCAAATTTTTTTTTTTCATTTTTTTATTAAATCCACACTCTCTGCTCTATCCGGATTTGAACATGGCAGTATTGGGCATGTCTGAATGAGGGATATTAATAACCCTCCTCTTAACTGGAAGATTTTATTGAGAAAGATCTCTTAGCCAGCTTCATTTCAGCCGTCGTTGGATGCTTTCAGGAATGATATTTAAATATTAGAAGTAATATTTAATTTATTGTTTGAACGGTATCTGAGAAAAAAAAATTAATATCAATTAGATAATTTTCCTGTTCTGAAATAATAAATATTATCAAATCGCCTACTTTAACAGACAATATTATCTTCTAATAAATCAAATAACTGCATATTTATTTCAAATAAATTTAAAATAACGTCTTATTTTTATTTATGCACACGACTTAGGACAAGTATAAACAAATGAAAATTATAAATAATTTGTTTTCCCTTTATTGAAAACCGTGATGTTATTGGCGACCATTTAATAGGATCGGAATACAAGAATGATTTTATAGTGACATCAAGAGAGGCATAAAAAAATCTAACGTTTGATCAATCAGTTTGAAATACCATTAAATCTCAAACGAGTTCGATATACTACGAAATCACTGTTTTTTTTTTTAAACAAAAAATAAGTAAATTATTCAATTGTATATTTCGTTCAAATAGATTTTGAAACAAGCTATTCTGCGAATCCTGTCAGTTTTGTAATTTTGATATTCTTTGTTTTAGAAATATAAAAATTGAAATAATTACTGATGTTAATTGTCCAATCCAACGTATTTGAATAAAATAATGAGCAAGGGATAAGGGCTATAGTAAACTGTCTAACTTGCTTTAAAATTTTATAAAAAATAATCAACTGGATCTGGTTTTGAGATGCTTTGAATAGGCAAAGATCAACTGAATGTCTGGAAGGCTCACTTCTCTTATAAAACAACCTTCTATTTTTGTTAGGTGATCCTAATTAGAATACAAATTAAATGCAGAAATTCAACTGTCAAATATCTTGAAAATTATTGAAATTGAATTTTTGATCTTAAAATGTATAAGTAAATCTATGTACTTTAAATTTAAAGAGTCCTGAATAAAATAATTGATCAGCACCTCCAGACATCTAATGTAAAATTTATCATTGTAAACAAATATGTCGATGATTTATGTCTAATCATTAGAAAAGAAGAACACTCTAAATTAATATATACTGTAAGTAATATACAAAGTAAACTTAAATTTACCTCAGAGTCTGAAATAATTAATAGACTGAACATTCTTGGTGTAACAATAGTCCGGAATGGAAACAAGGTACTTACGAAATGATATTAAAAACCAATTACCAGTGAATATAATTTAAATTTGTATTCAGATCATCTCAAGCCCCAAATTATTATTGTAGCAACTAACCTAATAAATAAATGTATAAAACTTACTGATGAATTTTTTTCTAAAAGATATATGCATCAGATATTCAAAATTTTAGACAATAGTTTTTATTCCAGACACATTACAAATGAACACAAAAATAAAGATAATAATAAAGAAAAAGATCAAAATGGAAATTGTAATAATACAATGAAAAACAGAAACATCTTAGATACCAGAAAAAGAAAAATAAGTTTAAAATGATAGCTCCATCTAAAACTAATATAACAAACTTAAAAAAAAAATTGATCAAGATGTAGGTAAAGGTCCATAAAACTGTTCACACTACAGGCCTGTATTTTCTTTAAGAATACAAAATGATACTTTGTCATGATCTTTTAACCCTGCAAGATAGAAATCTCTCCGTCATGGACCGATTTCAATAATTTTCGAAAATTGATTGAATAACGTCGGAAAACATTTAAAATAATGTCACTCAAATCATAAAGTCAACGAAATACAGTTAAAAATAAGACAATACACTATCACTACAATATTTAATAACTGCATTGAATGCAATGTCACATTTATTTAATAGTTTTTGTCTTTTAAACAAATGCTTTAGATTTAGTTTTAAATAGGAACAAAAACAGGCGGATCTAAGGGGGTGAGCTTTTGGGTTGAAGATCTCCCCCCATTTTGGTAAAATAAATTATTTCTTATGAAAAAAAAAAAAAACTGAATAAGTTATCTCAAAAATTATTATTTTTCGTGTAGTTACATTTAATAGAATCACTTACACACCATTTCTTATAGGTAGTTGGTTTCTTCCTTTTTCTTTTAAAGTATTAATCGTTATATTTATAAAAATAGAAGCTTTCAGGCTTATGGCCCTTCCCTAAAATTAATCCTGAATCCACTACAGGTAGGAATAGTACCTAAGTGTACCGGTAATAGGCACTTTAAGAGAATTTTACAACAATAATGTGAACCACAGCTTATGTTCGGTGGGTGGATCTTTGCAAACGGGTTTAATTGACAGAAAATTTAGTCATTTACCAATTTCGTTTTATCTATACAGTCAATTACTTTTTTATTCATGAAAAACCAAGGAATTTCATACAGAGTTTTTTGTACCAGTAAGAGACACTCAGGTGTTGGGGTCAACATATTTTTTTATATAATTAAAAAATACAAAATAAATTCTCCACAGTTGTAAACAAGAAAATGGCAAACTTTGCCAATGATGAATAAATCCGACATTCAAATCTAGTGATAAGAAAAATTCTCTGAAACAAACATCCAGCTTTGCTCTATTAAAAAATCAACTTAAAAAATCAAACAAAGGTCCATAGGCATGACGTCACTTGAGGTTCCGACAACATCCCACTAAATTTTCTAGTTTCAAATCTATTCGTATTGTTAATCTCTTTTGGACATATAAAGTTGATTACATGTTAACAAGTTGAAATTTGTCTATTAAATTTGTCTAAACCCTACTTAGCTGCATAAAGTACTATCCTCAAATAATGGACTAGTTTTCTTAATAATAAGTTTAGATGTGGCACAAGCCCAATAAGTACAAACAAATAAAATTAATGGCCATTATTGTTTCTTTAACAAATAATTAGTTGAAAATGATAGCAGCTTTCCTAGCTGAAAATCCTAGGGACTTCCCCAGCTGAACTAAAATGTTTTTAATTCGCTAGACAGGATTCTCAGGTCGTGCTAGAATGACTGTTGCGTGTGCCTCATAATTGCTTTTTTTTTTTTTTTTTATCTTAAGTGATTCCTGGGTATGGTTTTTACATTAGCAATAAATTTGCTTCTATGTAGTATGAATAAAAACTCTTAATACCTTCATATTTACTTCCTTACTAGGGAAATATTTAATTCGTACGGGAG